AATGGGCTCTGAGTCAATAGCTCATGGGGCCGAAGGCCGAATGGGCTATTGACTCAGAGGCCATGAGGGCGAGAGGAATAATTATTTTAGTAAAATCCAACTAGTGGGTCAAAAATATCGAGACAAAACAGTTTTAGCTAGCAAAACGCGATTCAGCCGCCATTGTTTTGGTTTTCAAAGCCGGCGCTTTTTGCTACTAGTGGGCTATAACATATAGCCTACTAGTAGTTCAACCAATCAGAACGCAGCATTGATAATAGACCACTAGTTGGATGTTACTAATTCCCGTTATACTGAATATGCCTCGGTGTTGATGCGATAGACGCGCTTACTCTCAGACAGTCTATTAAAAGCTCTATGTTGTTCATTCCACAAGGTCCTTCAACCCATAATCATCCGAACGCGTAACCTCCCTTACATTATTAATTATACACCAAGACCAGTATAAACGGATCTTTAGTAGTTGATTCGGACAACCTTCTTCAAAGCACCCATGAGATTAGAGAAATTTTTACTGATTATTAAAACAGCATGTGGGTGCTTTAATTAAAAACCGAAAACAGTTCGTCTGTAAGGATCTCATAGGATACTTGTTGTCAACTTTAAAAAACTGTCTAACGGCCAAGAAGCGCGGAACTGATGACGCTGTAACGGTATCAAATATCTGGACGCCTCTAAAGAGATTCCTCTATCTCCCCATACAGACGACGCGTTTTATTCGTTTCAGCCAAGTTTTCGCCTAAACCCTTAAAGTAATCAAGTTCACTTGCACGAACTTCTGGGAAGCGTTTGTTTTTTATTAGACCACATTTTGACATATCTTTCAGTTCAAGATTGCTGGAAGGCTATGCAACGTGGATCAAAGATGATCAAGTTGGACATTAATAGAAAAGGTTCCTCCAAGAAAACGTTTGTTTTAGATGAGGATATGACAGGAATTAGATACCAACCTTCTAAAAAGAATTCTAGGTGTAAGTAAATTCCATTCTTGCTTCTTATAACTTGTGAAGACATTCACAGTCAATCCCATTATTTCAGTAGGAACCAAATCCAACCCCCCCCCCCC